AATCCTTGCCTCCAAAGAGCAGCTGGATTTAACCCTCTCCAGGATGAATCTGTTTTCTTAGCAGTCCATGGTACCCTCAATACTGTTCTCCAGCACCACAGCTCAAAGGCATCAATTCTCCTTTTATCCTCCCTAGTCATTGTCCAATTCTCTGACGCATAACAAGTGATTGTAAAGACCATGGCTTGTATCAGACGTACCTTAATCTCCAGATACACACCACTGCTCTTCAGTACTTTGGGGAGGTCCCTAACAGCAGACTTTCCCATTGCAATACGTCTTTTAATTTCCTGGCTGCTGATGTCAAGAATGTTGACTATGGTGCCAAGCAAACTAAAGCTGTGAACAATCTCAATTTCTTCTTCATCATGCATCCTGATGCTGCCAATTCGTCCAGTGGTGAGAATCTTTGTCTTCTTGATATTGAGCCTCAATCCATATTGAAGGCTGCAGTCCTTGACCCTCTGCAGCAAGTGCTTCAGGTCCTCCTCAGTTTCAGCAAGCAGGGTTGTGTCATCTGCATAACGCAGATTGTTGATAGATCTTCCACCGATCCTGACCCCACATTTCTCCTCATAGAGCCCAACCTCCTGGATAATCTGTTCTGCATACAGGTTAAAAAGGTATGGAGATAGGACACATCCCTGGTATACACCCTTCCCAATTTTGAACCATGCAGTGTTTCCTTGCTCTGTTCTGACGACTGCCTCTTGGTCCAAGTATAGGTTTCGCATTAGCACAATCAAGTGTTCTGGGATTCCCATTCTTCTGAGAGTCAGCCACAGTTTGTTATGATCCACACTGTCAAACGCCTTGGCATAGTAAATCAAACACAGACCTTCCTCTGGTATTCCTTACTTTCAGCTAAGATCCATCTAACATCAGCTACAATATCAATAGTACCACGACCCCTTCTAACCCCAGCCTGGACTTCCAGCAGTTCTCTGATGATGTGCTATTCTAGTCATTTTTGGATAATCTTCAGTAGAATCTTGCCTGCATGTGAAATCAATGATATTGTTCTATAGTTTCCACACTCTGTTGGGTCACCCTTCTTTGGAATGGAACAAATATAGATCTCCTCCAGTCAGATGGCCAAGTGGTTGTTCTCCAGATTTCCTGGCTTGGTGAGCACGTCCAGGGCAGCATCTGTTAGCTGAAATATGTCAAATGGTATACCATCTATTCCTGGGGCCTTATTTTTTGCTATTTCCTTCATCACCATGGGCTCTTGCTCATATGTTGTTTCATTAAATTCTTCTGTGTCTGCCAATTCTTTTTGATACAGTGACTCAATATATTCTATCTTCTTTTAATACTTCCTGGATCATTTAATATTCTGCCTAAAGCATCACTGATTATAGCAACTCAAGGTTTGAATTTGTTCTTCAGGTCTTAATGCTGAGCAAGTTCGGCCCTATTGATTTTCTGACTCCAGCTCCTTGCACATTTCATTTTAATATTTTACTTTGTCATCCCGTGCTGCCTTTTGAAATCTTCTGTTCAGCTCATTAGTATCTTGAATTCTTCCTTGTGCTTTGGCTTCTCTGCGCTCCAGTACAATATTCAGAGTTTCTTCTGACATCCATTTTGGTCTTTTCTTCCTCCTTTTTGTAATAAATGTTTGCACTCTTCCTGGATGATACCCTTGATATCCTCCCACAACTCATCTGGTCTTTGCTCATTAGTGCTGAAAGCCTCGTTTGTCTGTTCCTGAGATGGTTCTGAACTTCAGGTGGAATAGACTAAAAGTCATATTTTGGTTCCCGTGGATTCAGTTTAATTTTCCTCAACTTCAGCTTGAACTTGCTTATGAGTAGTTGGTGGTCTGTTCCACAATCAGCTCCTGGCCTAGTTTTCAGAGCTGAGATTGAGCTGCTCCAGTGGTTCTTCCGCAGATGTAATCAATCTGATTCCTGTGCATGCCAGTGAAATCCTTATGTATAACCTGTGTTTATGTCTCTTAAAAAATGTATTTGTAATAAATAAGTCACTGATTGTGCAAAATTCAATCAAAATCTTTTTCAAAATTTTAAAAATTATTAAATTTTCATTAAAATCAATAATAATTTAAAAAATTTAAAAAAATCTATACGTGATTACTAGGTTAACTTAATTAACATCAGCAGTAAACTAGGTCAAATACCAAAATATTTCTTAGAAAACACATTTATTACATGCACACCCATGTTTATCGCAGCTTTGTTCACAATAGCAAGGAGTTGGAAACAACCTAAGTGCCTATCAGCAAACGAATGGATAGAGAGCTGTGGTATATTCACACAAAGGAATGCTATGCTACATTGAATAACAAGGAACTCATGAAATAGTATTCAAACTGGGTGACCCTGGAGGACAGTATGCTTAGTGAAGTATCTCAGTAACAATAGGACAAATACTGCATGGTGTCACTGCTGTAATACAGAACTGACATTGGGGTTGGGGGGAGACTGAGAAAGATGGGTTAAATAATGTATACTGCAATGAAACAAATGGGGGAGTAAACTGTTTACAAGGGATATGTGATTAGGTATTTTTGTCATGATGGGAGTCCAGAGTGAAGGCTGCATAGTGGAGTGGACCTTGGGGGCCGGGATTGTAAAACAATGAAAGAATTTTTCTTTTACTTTTCCAAGAGGAGAGTGTACTTGGGGGGGGGTGTGAGAGAGGAGAAAAGTGCAACAATGAATGAATGGAAATCCAAAGGCTCTGTAAATTTTCATTGAAATTAATATTTTAAAAAAATTTTTTAAAAACCACATTTATTATAAGCGACACATAACAATGAACAGAAGAAGGTTATGAGAGTCTATACCATCACAGTGTGAAATGACAAAGTAGACTTCCATCACAGGAGGGTAGTGCTGAATTCCAATTAAAAACCCACAGTCATGGTGGAGATTCTGACCCACAGCTCCCACCAGATCCTGGTTGTGTCCATCTTTACAGATAATGACCATCTCCTGCAGAGTGGCTGGCAGATTCACATGGGCAATGTAAGACACCACCCTAACAGAGCTGCCAGCTTCCAATTAGAGGTTACTAAAAGTACACATGCAATTTATTTTTCCTGTCCATGTTCAATGTGCCTATTAATATCTTCCACCTAAGGAGAGAAAACAGGACTTCTCAAGAAATTCTCAAGTCACTGTTTAGCAAAATTCCAGGGGCAGCACCCATTCAGTCATGGGTAAGGTGAGGTCTAGGCCCCCCATAAAGGTGACCCCATAAAAGGCAGCTAAAGCTACTTTTTTAAGTAATGAGACCAGCAAATCAGTATCTTCAGAAAGCTGGAGATAATAAAGCCAAGAAAATTCTCTTTAGTCTTTTCCGGGCCCTGGGATAATCTACCCATATCATTTGGGAAAAATTTTAGCCACTTTTTTTTTTTAAAAAATAGACTTTGGTTTTTTTAAATTGTATGTTTACAAATACTAGATAGGTTTTTTTCACATAATAATTCATAGCTTTAACTAACACTGATTGTTGCATTTAACTTTTTACAATGTTTAAGCAAATCCTTATTATACATTGCACGTCACCTTCTGGTTGCCCCCCCCTTCATTCCCTCTTCTATGCCATTTAATCCAGTGTATATCTTCTTCCAGACTGTTAAATACACTGATTGTCCATTCATTTCAGATTGACTTTCCCTCTTTGCCTACACAGTGTTCATTATCTATCCATTCCTTTCATTTTCTCTCTGCCATCCCTTCTGCTCCACCATAACCATCTATTTTTGCAACAGTGGACTTCTGCAGTATTTGTCCTCTTCCAATTCCCATTTTTAAAAAATTTTTATTTTATTATTTTCTGTGTGTTTGTACCGTCAAATTGGATCTGACTGGTACAAGAGGAGATGGCCCCTCCTTCTCCAGCAGAGCATATGGTGGATTCAAACCACATATCTCTGGGATTGCAGTGCAGCTTCTTGCCACTAGGCCACCAGAGCTCCTCAAATCCCCATTTATTTAACTTTTCTGCAATTACTTTTTAAAAATGGGCTTCATACTACCAAGTGTGGTGCTAAATGTACACAAGTCACAGGCAATCCATTTCTGTTCCATGCTTCCTGAGGAGTCCTTACAGACTTGAAAATTCATTTCAGACCTATCTTTAATTGAGCTGTCTCTAACCTCCTTCCTTCCTGTCTTCATTTACCCTACTTTGTCTTTCTTGCTTTGCTGTTAGTTTTAATTTTTAGCTCAGAACGTGTCTCTTTACAGTTATTTCACTCAGCATAATGCCTTCCAGACGCATCAATGTTGTGCACTGTTTCACAAGCTTATTGTTTTTCTTTTGTTTTTAAAAGAGCAATTTCATTTTGCAGAAAATCATGCAGGAAGCAGAATGTTCTTCTTTGAGCTCTCCCACCTGCAGAGATTTACAATCACTGACACCTTGCATTCCTTGGTATAGTGTTACAACAGATACATTATTAACTGAAGTGCATAGCTGAGTTGAGGGTTAGCTCTTTGCTGTACATTCTCTAGGTTTTGGCAAATGTTATGTGTCCTCTAGTATCACATGAAACTCTCACTGACCCCTCTCCTTCTTCCCTCTCTAGCTAACTAGCTAACACTTCAATGCGTCTTGAGTTCTGCTTTTAGAGAAAGTTCTCTCTCATTGTTGTCAAATCGGAACCAGCTCATAGCTGATCTTTCAGCAAGATTTTTGGGGCAGTAAATCACACTGGGAGTAGACTGCCCATTTTCCTCCAGAGGAGTGGTTTCAAATAGTCAGAGAGGTGACATCTCTGGGTTAACAGCACAGCTTCCTAGGAACCATGCCCCTGACCTCCTAGAATGTCAGACAGCTAGAACAATCCAATATGTAGTACACAGTCATTCTTTTTTTATATCCCTAATTTTTTTTTCTTCAACAACAGTAAGGCATAGGTCTAAAGAGCAGTATTTCTCAGGAAATACAAACCCATACCCCACCAAGTTTGTGTACTGAGTGTAAGGTGCCCAGTTAGGTCCATGAACAGCATGTCCTACCTTGGTTAAGGCATAAGCCAGTGTCCCATCATCCTCAGTAGAATGGTCAAGCAACTTCTGATAAAAGGCATCATTGTAAGGTCCATCTATTTGCAATGCTTTTCTGAAGGGAAAAGCAGAAACAAGACACACAAAACCAAAATGGTAAGGTTGCCTAAAGTGTTAACAAGCTGAATTTAAATTCACACATTTTGTTTTAAAGAGTACCTAATATATCCATTAAATTACCCAGAAAGTCAATGGCTCTCTTGCTAATAAAAAAGTCAGTAGTTCAAATCCACCCACCAATCTGTAGAACAAGTGTGGCAATCTGCATCCATAAAGAGCCCAAGAGCCCTGTCTTGCAAGGTTGTTGTGAGTGATAATCGACTCTATGGCACCTAACAATAGCAATGCATGAACATCTTCCTAAAAGTGACACTGGCTGTAATAAAGTTTAAATAAGTTTTAAAATAATTTCTATTTTTAAGGTTCTAAATAAAAACTAGCAGAAGCTAATGACTACTGGCATCTTAGACTGGAGCTATCCTTTAGCACAAGTGGGGTTGCAGGAGAGGCATTCAGGCCATGGGGTGCTAACCCCTGCGCCTGCTACTCTTCAAATCAACTCAACCCACTGCCACTGGGTCCATTCCCACTCACAGCAATCCACCATCAGCCTTCCCAGCACATAAATCTTAGAAGGGGAAAATGTCCATCTTCCTTCTCCCGTGGAGCTGCTGGTGGCCTTTGGTTAGCCCTAAAGACTAGGCCACAGAATGCACATCCACCCTGAGTGGATCGAGCTCGAGAGAGGCCTGAAAACAAAAGGCTGAGTTCAGCAGAGCTGCTGGCATGTCAGCCTCAAGACTGCCGAGCAAAGCAGCTCCTGACTGTGGAACACTGCTGCCCTCTACAGTTGAGTGGAAACAGCAAAGAATGACAGCTAAAACAGCTAATTTTAGAAATGTCAAGTTCACAGAATGCAATTTCTTCTCATTAGAAATAAGTAAGAACAGTGACTTTGGTAAAGAACCCTGGTCTTCCTTTCTAAGGCTAGATCCAAGGAACAGGAGCCATAGACAGGGAGAGAAGAGGATAGCAGGGTCTTTAACAGCACAAGGTGTTCAAGCAGGTGAAATTTCCCCAGGCCCACTTGTAACATGGTGGCTGGCTATCCTAACACAGGGTCCCCCTCAGCGCTTGGTAACAAGCAGCAGCCAGAGCCTATGGCTTACCTCTGCTCAGGAAACTCCTGCAGGTGCTGTTCAACCCTACTATACAGAGGGTAGAGGCCCTCTATGTCCAGCATGTCCAGCATCTGAACCTGGAGGGTTCTGTACAGAAGACAGTCCTTCGGTAGCCCTGAGTGCTCGGAGGTGTATTTTCCTACCAAGAACATCAGGGAAAAACACAACAAATCACAATGAAGACTAGCTGCAATGAGACGAACTGCAACAGGGCAGGTGTGCAGCAACAGCAGCTGAGGTGCTGACTTGCCTGTGGGCTGCGGTGAGGGCCTAATGCACCGGAGGGTGCAGCCACCCAATGAGTACCCCCAGGGATACCCTGCCAGGTGCTGACACATGCAGATGGGCCAGCAGTTCAATCACTCCCAGCCAGCTGGTCACACCAGGCCAGAGTCACTGCTAACTCACGTTTAGAAAGAAATGGAAGTCAGTCTGCAGAAACCAACACACAGAATTTCATACACCCCCAATTTGCAAATAGAATGCTCTGTGCATGTTAAGTGTAGTACAGAGCACAGGCTACACTGAGGAAGAGGTGCCCGCCACAGCCCAGTCACGCTGTAGTACAGAGTCCTGAAGCTTAAACTCACACCACGGGCCCGTCCTCATGCTGACAAATAAGGAAATGAACATGATTCCTGTCTTCACTTAGGAGCTGCCTCCCAGGAGAAAGCAGACAATTGCACACACCAAGGGGCTGCCCGTGTTGTTGCAGGGATACCACCACAGCCTCCCCTCTCAGGTTGATTTGGCCTCCGGCTGGCAGGCCCTGCTCCAGAACACGCTGCGCTCCACACGGAGTGTGCTCAGGAAGGGGAGTGAAAGCTGCAAGCTAAACCAAAGGCCCAAGCAGTGCACAGCTTCATGAAGGGCAAAAGTTGAAAACGGACACTGACACAAATGCACACTAATTAAGGGGAAAGGGTCAGCTGTAAAACAAAATGCAGAGCACGTCCTTACTGCTTCCACATTGCCCACTTCACAGGCTCTTACCACAGCACTCACTCACCCAAGTGATGGGACCTGCGGGGCTGTGCAATGCGTGACCAGGGGAAAGAAAAGCTGTCAAGGGAACTTCAGAGCCACCAGGCTCTTAGGTGTCCTTCAAGACTCATGCTGTTTTTTCAAAGGCATTTATGTTCTTTTAAGTGTGACTGTAATACATTTTTGGGGGCTTTCTTTTGTGACAAGGGGGGAAAAATCAACCGGAGATGGGGCACCCCTGCAGAACAAGCAGGGCATAATCAGGGATGGGCCACCAAAGGCAAGTACCACCCAGGAGATAGGCAGGGCTGCTGGTTAGGTCTGTGAGTAAGCAAGCAGCTTCTGCAAATGCTGAGCATGTTTTCAGACCAACCTCAACACTACAGGTGTCTTTAGCATAAAACTGAACAACCAGACTTTCTGGTTTGCTCAAATGAAGTGGCTTTCACATCCTGAATGTTAATGAAGCTGTAGTGCTTACTGCCAAATGATAAGAACAAACAAGGGCCTAACAGATTTTAGAAGAAACATGAGCTGGGTGTCCCTCCTTGCATCCCCAGACTTGCACTGTCCAGTGACCACTGCTCCAGTAGAAGGCTCACCTCAGCCCTCTGGACGCTTTGAAGCACCAAGTCCCAGTGGCCAGGTTCTGGGATCGCCTGCACCTGTCTGAGCCACAGCTGCCAGGAACGTCCCAGGGCTATGTGCAAACCACTGTCCAAGTGAGCATCACTTCTGCCTCCGACACCAGGTTTCCCCTTCTGGGACTTCTGAGCCTTAAAACAACTTCTTCATCTGAAAAATCTACCCTCCAACTTTTAACTCTCAGGGTTACTATCAGGCTGATGAAAACCTACCCTCAAGGGTTGCAGTGGGAATATACAAAGAGGTTAGACAGGAAAGTGAAACAGATATACTACACATGTCCTGCACCTTATAAACCTAGATCAAACACAGGACGGGGGAGGCTCCCAGTGTAGTCAAGAAGCACCCATAAGGCCCAGAGTCATGTGCACCAGCCTATCGTAACTGCCCACCCCAGAGCCACTTAGCAAGGAGGATACCTTGACAGTGCAGCTGTTTGCTGAAGGGGCTGGCTTCGCAGGCTCTTGGGCCCCGTGTTGCAGGAGCAGCTCTCCAGGCTCCTGGCCAGCTCTGGTCAGCACTACTCAGCAGCACCCGAGTAAGGACATGCACCAGCTCTCGGATCACAGTCCTGGTGCAGTGTGGCCCACTGGCCAGGCCATTGGAAGGGAAGAAGAAAGGCTTCAGGTGGTGAGCAAGCTCGCCCCAGTCAGCCACCGAGTCCCAAGCTTCCTTGCCACCATATATTAATTCACCGTTCTTCATATTGGGGAAAAGAGAAAGAGAAATGTCAGCTCCAACAGCACAGAGAAGACACCCTTATCCTGCATCACAGGACATGGCCCTCTGCATCTGGGGTTCCCTGTATGGAGAAGCATCCATGAGCACAGGGTCACTGGTCACTGGCCAAAAGACAGGCCCTGGGAGGACATACAGTGAGAGAAAAGTTTCTAAGAGGTGAAATTATATACCCTGGTCTAAAAACTCCCTATTTCTGAAATAGTGATCAGAGCCACACAGCCCACAAGCAAAACAGTCACATGCCCAGTTCTTAGCGATAAAAAAGGCACTCATCCCACCACTGTCAGAGCTGAGCCTTTGGGAGAATCAAGACCAAATGTCACAAAGACTCCTAAATGCACCAGCCTCTCCTCTTGCACCAGAGGCTCCCCCATGCACAAGGCCCTCTCTTCCTGCACCAGCCTCTCTCCCATGAGGCCCCTCCTACATCAGAAGCTCCCTAAGCACGAGACCTCTCCTCTTACACCAGAGGCTCCCTATGCACGAGGCCTCTCCTCCAGCACCAGAGGCTCCCCCATGAACAAGGCCTCTGTTCCTGCACCAGATTCTCCACCATATACGAGGCCCCTCCTGCAACAGAGGTTCCCTATGCATGAGGCCTCTCCTCCTGCACCAGACCTCTGTTCCTGTACCAGCCGCTCCCCTATACGTAAGTCCTCCTCTCCTGCATCAGCCACTCCACCATTCACAATACCTCTCCTCCTGCAGAGGCTCTCCGATGCATAAGACCTCTTGTGCTGCAACAGCCACTCCACCCTACACAACACCTCTCCTTCTGCAATGATCTCAGCCGAAGGCCCCTTGAACAGGCTCTCATCCCAATGATGCTCCACTGGTGATGAGCAGAATCCAGAAGGCAGACACGTGTCAAAGAGGCCCTCCCTCCATACACAGTTCTGAGAACACAAAGCAGAGGGATAAGAGTGCTCCCAAGATGATGTTACAAGAGAAACTCCACAGAGCTGGCCCCAGAAGACAGCCTCATGCAAGACTCTGGGCCACAGCCAGCCAAGGAGCTCCAAAGCCTGCCACATAAGCTGTGAAATAGTAAATGCTGGTGTAAGCTGCTAAATCAATTATCTATAAGGCAACAGTAGACAGTGTGGGTCATTTCAATCTAGCAGGTATGGACCTGACCATGCCCTGGAGTTCAGCAGTATGGAGCCAGCCCTGATTGGCCTATGTTAGGGAGAGATTTGGAGCTCACAAAAATGAGAGTCAAAAATAATAGGGCGCTCAACCAAAAAGTTCTGGTTTCATCAGTGAACTTTACCAAGTATTCATAGAAGAGCTGATGCCAATTTTACTCAAATTATCTCAGAATATAGAAAACGATGGAATATTTCTATGAAATAAACACTAGACCTAACAATAAAGCCAGGTAAAGACATCACTAAAAAAAAAAGGCACAGACCAGTAACTCTCATGAACATTGTTGTTGCTGTGGTGTGACATCTAATCATATCGGCCCACAACTGACTCTCAGCACATTTTTGGAGGCAATAAATCACACAGGAGGAGAGTGCCCATCTTTCTCACACAGAGCAGCTGGTGGATTCAAGCCATGTACTTTTGTGTTGGAAGCACAGCACCTTACCACTGGGCAACCAGAGCTCCCTTCATGAAAGCATATGTAAAAAAAAATATATTGATGTAAAAATTCTTGGCCAATATAAAAAAAAATTTCATTAAGATCAAATAGGATTCATACTATGTATGCAAGGATATCCCAAACACAAACCAACATAATCCACAACAATAAAAAAAAAAAATCACATGGTTATCTCAGTTAATGTAAAAAAGGCATTAGATAAAATTCAGTATCCTTTCATAACACTGAATTTTAGGGAAATTAAATTCTGTTATGTGAAAAAACTGACAGCATCATGATAGATGGAGAAGAGATCAAGGTTGTTAACAGTTAACAGCTTGCTCAGCCCTACAATCAACACTCTTGGCACCAGCAGTCAGGAAATCAAAAGAAGAATTGCATTAGGTAAATCTGCGAGCAGGGACCTCTCCAGAGTACTAAGAAGCAACAATGTAAGTTTAGAGATTAAGGTGTGCCTAATCCAAGCCATGATCTTTGCAAATACTTGCCTTACATCTGAGAGGTGGATAATGACAAGGATGACAGAAGAAGAATCAACTGTGGTTTGAACTGTGGTGCTGGAGAAGAGTACTACTGAGTGCCAAGAGAATAGGTCTGTCTTGGAGAGGGTGAAACCAAGTTTCTCCTTGGAGGCTAAAATTTTGAAGCTCCATCTCACATACTTTGGGCATGGGGCCAGGAGGGACCAGTCCTTGGAGAAGGACATCATGTTCAGAAGGGTGGAGGAACAGCGCAGGAGAGGAAGACCCCAGATGAGATGGATTGGTTAGAGTTAACTAGGGCTATGGGGGTAGGTGTGTTGGAGTCAGTGAGACTGGCAGCAGGTTTCAGAGCTATTGTATATAGGGTCACTGAGTCACAGGCGACTCAATGGCACATAACAAGAAATTAAAAACACTCAACAAAAAAAAAGAGCAGAAGGGAAACTTCAATATAGTTAAAAGCATATAGATATAAAGCCAATGGCCAACACTACTCTCAACGGAGAAAGATTAAAGGTATTTGCTTTGCCAAGGGGAACCAGACAGGTATGCCTCCTATTACCATACCTAGTCAATGTGTATATCTGTTTTACTGACTATATAAAGGCGTTGGACTGTGTGGATCACAGCAAATTATGGCTAACATTTGGAAGCATGGGAATCTCAGAATACTTAATTGTGCTCCTGCAAAACCTATAAGTAAATCAAGAGGCTCTCCTAGCAACATGCCTGAAATATGGGAGAAGATTGGAAATTGTCAATGATTTCGTCTTGCTTGGATCCACAATCAATATACTTTCTCCCCACCCCTTACAGTTTCACTACCTTGTCCCTTCATCCTTTATCATCTCTCACCTCATCCTCTAAGACCCCTCTCACCCTCTAAAGCTCAGTCTTCATCTCATATCCCCCCTCAGTGTGGGCCGCTCCATTCTCATCCTGGATATTCGACCTCATCTTTCCTACCTTCCTGGTTTTTGCTGCCTCTTCTTCGATGCCCCTCTGCTTCCTATTTCAACATAGTGGCTGGGAAGACAAGGAAGTCACATACATCCTGGCCTGGTGGCCCTTGGTCAAGGTGCCCCTTACCCATCCAGGAGAACATCATTCCACAAGCAGCCCAGGCCAGTACCGCAAGACAGATCTGTGCACACTTGGAGCCTGTCCCAATGGAGTGGGGCCTAGAGAAAGGACTCTGAGGTAAGCAGGGACCACTTAGAACTAGCAGGTCTGGCAGGGCTTCAAGGCAGTCACAGTCAGGCCCAGACATCCACAGCCATCCCCCAGAACAGATCCATCTGTTCTCCATTCTTGAGAAGATGATGGTGAGGCTGGAGCAAGCAGGGGCTAGGATGATCCCTAGCACAGGTCAAAGGGTCCCAACCCCTAAGAAACAACCATGAAAAAAGCAATTCTTACCTTGAATATCTTTAAGTTATTCTGTGCTTCCTGTAACAAACTTTTCAAGGCAAAGTGCATTCTCTGTTTATTTCTAAAAGGGAAAAGTATTATTGTTACTAGGAAGCCATTTAAAATCATGCTCAGGAAATCTGATTTGTTTAGAAGAAGTATAAAAGGACTCAGGGTGGCTCTTCTTGATCTCTGGACACTGGCTGCAAAACGGGAGCCTGAGATACCCTTGCCCAGGACAGGAAAAGCTCCCTCAGTAAAAGTTACAGCTCCTAGAGGCTTTTTCTTGCCTCCAGAGGGGTGACAACACAACAAATGAATTCTTAGGTTCTGTATGTAGGGAAGGCATGTGTTGGGGAATGTTGGGGTGGAAGGGAGGGCTTCTGGTCAGGACAGATCGCCTAGCTTCAGATAAGTGCAAGCCTGCCAATGGCCTTTAATATGGATGGGATAGAGAAAGCTCTCCTGTGTTTGGCTGTACCAGCTTGAGAAAGCACGCCACCTGGGAAGACGGCTGCTGCATCTTGTTGAGCTGGGAGTAGTCTGCACGAGGCTGAGCTTCTCCTATCCAATCCACATGTCCCATGTCTGCAAGCCCACCCTGTCTTCTTATTTACTTGCTTGCATTGTAAGTGCACTGCAGCCCCCAATAAAAGTGAGCTGGGTGGACTCTCTGAACAGCTCCTGGAGTGGCGTCTCTGTTGTGCTTACCCTGTCAAGGTGTCGCTGTTCACTTCTGGCAAACAGACAGTGACAGGCAAGGGTTTCAATGCCATCTGGTTTCTGCCATGTTGGTATGAGCCATCGAGTTGATTACGATTCACAGTGACTCTATGAACAATAGCTCTGAAACCTGCCCTATCTTGAGCCAATACTGTCTCTGACACACCTGCCACTGTCCTCCAGCATGAGTGGAAGACAAATCCAGTCATGACTTTATTCAGAGGGAAGTAACCTGCAGATGCAGAGCCCTAACTGGGTTCTGTGTGAGACATTAATGGGAACGGCAGGCAGAGCCTAAAGGTCCATTACTACACGGACTCTAGCAAGAAGTCAGAGGAAAACACTTTCTTACCCTGAGTAGAGATCAAGGGGACAATATTTACTTATTTTCTTCCACTTTCCAGTTGCTACCTAAGGGAAAAAACAACATAATGCACGAGATGAGACAGGACAATACCACATGGTTAGACATCCAAGTACTGAGAGACAGGTACAGCCAAGACCGAGGACACAAGGATCCCAAGAGATCTTTCCAATCATCCAGGTAACTAAATCTGAACCCAAGGAGCTTGTGCCCAGTTCTCTGGAGGATTTATCAAGCCACCCTATCCTGCCATGTGTGCAGGGAAAGAATGCAGCAAGTACCTTCTTAAATGTACAGGCTGAATCAGACTATAAAACCCATCAAAATGATGCTGTCTAATAATGAAACAATCCTTTGAAAGGCAATTTGCCAGCTGACATCAAATTTATTTCTTCTGTTGTTGTTGTTGTTGTTGTGTACCGTCAAATCATATCTGAGTGGCACCAGAAGAGACTGTCTCTCCTTCCCAAGCAGGGAATCTGGTGGATTTGAACCTTGTGCCTTTGGGATTGCAGTGTAGCTTCTTGCCATTAGGTCACCAGAGCTCCCTTCACTTAAAAATTTTTAAATGTAATTATTTTCTGACATGACCAATGTATTTCAAAATCTAGGACTAACTAGCCAGTGAAAAGTGGAAGTAAATGTTCTGTGAAGTAAAGATGGTTAAACATCTGCTGTTTGTTTCTGTTGTTAGGTGACTGACTCATAGTAGTAACTCCAAGAACAATTGATGTGAACCTTGTGCCATCCTCACCATCTCTGATATACCTCAACTCAGTTGCAGGCACTGTGTCCGTCAATCCACTGTTGAGGGTTTTTCTCTTTTGCTGACCCTCCACGTTTCCAAGTAGAATATCTTTTTCATAAGACTGACCCTCTTCTAATTACATGCACAAAATATTCAAGCAGCTTCACCACCCTTGCCTTCAAGGAGCATACTGGCTGCACTTTCTCCAGGACATATTTGTTTGGCACAGACATTCTTTTAGTATTCTCTACATCAGCATCAGCAATGGTATTTCTGGTGCCACAGGCTCTGCTAAAACCAGCTTGAACTTAATGACAGTTCTCTGTTAATGTACTGTTCTAGTAATCTTTTGCGTGTTCTTCAGCAACATTTTGAAAAAAGACCACGGGATTCTTCTCCCAACACAACTTTTTCAACACAACTCAAAGGCATCAATTATTCTTCTGCTGCCATTATTCATTATCCAATTTCAGATGTGTAATAAGAAATTGGAAAGACTATGGCTTAAATCACATGCCCCTTGTCTTTAAACTGACATAACTGCTCCTTAGAGAGGTCCTCAACAGTAGATTTACCCAATGCAATATGTCTTTTGATTTCTTGACTACTGGTGTTCAGTGCTGACTGTATATCCAAGTAAATCACTGACAACTTCAATCCTTTCTCTATTATGATGCTCTTATATTATAGCTAATGTTAGATGGATTTCGGCAGAAAGCAGAGTATCAGAGGAATGTCTATCAGTGCTTCATTGACTATGCAAAGGCTACTGACTGTGTGGATCACAACAAGCTATGGCTAACTCGGAGAAGAATAGGAATCCCAGAACATTTGACTGTGCTTATGTGAAACCTATATTTGGACCAAGAGGGAGTTGTCAGAACAGAGCAAGGAGACACTGCATGGTTCAAAATTGGGAAGGGGGTCCACAAGGGATGTATTCTGTCAATCTGGGCTGTACAAAGAGGAATGTAGCATCAAATGAGGATTGATGGAAGATTCATCAACAACTTGCATTATGCAGATGACATAACCCCTGCTGAAACGGAGGATATGAAATGCTTGCTGCAGAAGGTCAAGGACTGCAACCTTCAATATGGATTGAAGCTCAACATCAAGAAAACAAAGATTCTAATGACTGGGCCAATTGGCAGCATCAGTATGGATGGTGAAGAGATTGAGATAGTTAACAATTTGTTTCCTTGGCTCCACAGTCAACACTCCTGGTACCATCAGCCAGGAAATCAAGAGACAAATTGCACTGGGAAAGTCAGTTGTCAGGGGCCTTTCCAGAGTACTGAAGAGCAACGAAGTCAGGCTGGAGACTAAGGTGCGCCTGATCCGGGCTATAGTCTTCACAATTATGTGCTATGTATCAGAGAGTTGGACAGTGACTAGGGATGAAAGAAAGAGCATTGATGCTTTTAAGTTGTGGTGCTGAAGAAGAATGCTGAATATACCATGGACTTCTAGGAGAACAAACAGGTTTGTCCTGGAGAGGGTGAAGCTGGGCTGCTCCTTGGAGTTAAGGATTCTGAAGCTTCATCTGACATACTTCGGTATGTCAAAGGATGCAAGGAGAGACTGGTCCTTGGAGAGGGACATCATGTTTGGGAGAGTGGAGGGACAGTGCAGGAGAGGGAGACCCTCGATGAAATGGATCGATTAATTGATTGGGGTGGTGGGAGTGGGTGTGTCAGAGACAGTGAGGTTGGCACAGGATAGAGCAGGATTTAGGGCTCTTGTGCATAGGGTCGCTATGAGTTGTAAGTGACTTGATGGCACATAACAACAACAATAATCATGATGCTGCTTATTGGCCCAGTGAGGAGGACCTTTATTTTCTTAATGTTGAGATACAATCCATACAGAAAGCTGTAGTTTCTGATCTTCTGAAGTGCTTCAAATCCTTCTCACTTTCAGGGAGCAAGGCTGTATCATCTGCACAACAGTTTGTTAATGAGTACTCTCTGATCATAATGCCATATTTTTCTTCATAGATTCTAGTTTCTTGAATGATTTGTTCAGTATACTGATTGAATAGGTATGGAGAAAGGATATAGCCCTAACCCACACTTTAATTTAAAACATACAGTGTTCCCCTGCTCTTTCTGGAAAACAGGTCTTGGTATAAATATAGGTTTAGTATAAGCATGATTGTTTTGAGGTTCCCAGTCTTCTCAATGTTAATCATAGTTTGTTATAATCCACACAATCAAATATCTATTCACACAGACTTTCTTCTGGTATTTTCTGTATCAACATTAGCAATGACATCTATGGTGCCACAGCCCCTTCTAAATCCAGCTTGAACTTCTGGAATTTCTCTTTTAATGTGTTGTTCTAGCCATTTTACATGATCCTCAACAATATTTTCCTTACATGTGTTATTAATGATATTGTTCAATAACTTTCGCATTCTACTGAATCACCTTTCTTGGGAATGGGAATAAACATGGATGTCTTGCAGTCATTGGGCCAGGTGGGTGTCTTCCAAATTTCTTGGCATGGACTGATGAGTGCATAAAGGGCTACATCTGTAAACTGAAACATGTCAGTTAGCATTCTGTTAATTCCTGGGGCTTTATTTTTTGCCAATGTCTTCAATGCAGCTTAAACTTCTTTATTACCATTAGTTTATGTGTCAATTAGTGCTTTTTGGTACAAGGACTGCATTCCTTCCATCATCTTTTAATAGGTCTTGGGTCATTCAAGATTTTACCCATGGCATCTGCAATACTAAAATATTGCAATGGAGGCCTGAATTTGTTTTGCAGTTCTTTCAGCCTGAGAAATGCTTAGAGAGTTCTTACCTTTTTATTCTCTAATTCTAGCTCTTTTCAGATTCCATTATAATACGTTGTCTTCTCAAACTACTTTTTTAAGTGTTCTGTTCATCTCTTTCACGTCTGCATCTCTTCCCTTTGCTTTGGCTTCTCAATGCTCTACTGCAATTTTTAGTCTCTTCTGATATCAATTTTGGTCTTTTCTTTCTTCTCTATGTAATGAACTTCTGCTCTTCTTCGAAAAGTTCAAGTCAGAACTAACTCATAGCTGACCCTCCAGCAGGCTTTCAGAGGCAGTAAATGGCACAGAAGAATACCCACCCTTAGCTCATGGAGATAAAGGTGATGTATTTGATGTTGCAAGGAGGGACTGGTCCTTGGAGAGGGACATCATGTTTGGCAGAGTGGAGGGGCGGCGAAGAAGAGGAAGACCGTTAATGAGATGGATCGATTCTGTGACTGGAGTGGTGGGAATGAGCACGTTTGAGATGGCTAGGTTGGCAAAGGATAGAATGGTGTTTAGAGCTTTTGTACATAGGGTCGCTATGTACAAGTCGCAAGCAACTTGATGGCACATAACAACAACAACTAGAGGACATTATATTAAGCAAAATAAATTAGTAACAAAAAATATTACCGTATAAGACTACTATTACTAAAGCTAAAGAAAAGTTTATACACAGTAATTTTTGGATAGTTACCAGGAATGAGTAGGAAGGGAAAGGGGAATAAAATTAACATATGGAAAAGTAAGGTTAAGGGAATTTTATTAAAATCAAATCCATCAACAGTAATATTATAAACAAAGTGAGTATAACCAAATGAAATGATAACTACAATGCTATAAAAAAACTTTTACTGATGTGCCGTCAAGTGGTTATTAACACATTGCCGCAAATGACGGCTATAGCGAAAAAAAATGTGTTTCTAAGCAAGGTCGTCAATTTTAAAGTATGCGGCAACGTGTTAAATCAAGGTTTTCATCTTTCATCAGCTCAAACCTGCTGCAGGATGGCTATGTAAAACAAGGGACTTTAATCTGCTTAGCTGCTGATGTAAAGGCTGATGATTCTACTCTAACCCAAAGTGCATCACAAAAAAGCTTTGGCAAGGGAGCTCTGGTGGCCTAGTGTCAAGAAGCTCCACTGCAATCCCAGAGGCATGCAGTTCGAATCCACCAGATGCTCTGCTGGAGAAGGAGGGGCAATCTCCTCCTATACCAGTCAGATCTGATTTGACAGTACACACACACACACACACACACACACACACACACAAACTATAAAAAATAATAATCAATTGCAAGGGGAAAAAACCCAACAAAACTTTGGTGACCTACTTCTACAAACCTAAAAACGTATGGAGTAAAATTCTACTCCTGACACAGGCAGTCAGCAGGAATCACAGCAACTCCAAAACTGGTTTTGGGGGTTTCTTTAAGAGTATCAAAGACAATTCCAGGTCAGATATCCCAAGTAAGCAGTCCATATCTTTGAGAAGAGGTAGGACTCACGAGAGCCCAACATGCAATTCAAAAACTCATATTCTATCTCCACAATGTGGCAAAGTTATGGTCAGTGAAGGGTTGCAAAGCTGGTTCCTCCACCTTCTCAGCACATCACACTTTGCTGGCCCAGCATGTAACTTTAGTATATGACCTTGACCAAAAAAACCACTGAAATTAGGCTCTTTTAATGTATCATTATATTTAAAGGTAGTACTAAAAAAAAATTTAAAAAAAATAAATAAAGGTAGTACTGATGGCCTACCACCAAGAAGCTGTCCTGCAATCTTGAAGGCACACAGTTCAAATCCAACAGATGCTGTATGGGAGAAGGATGGGTAATCCTCCCATGTGATTAAATGCCTTTGAAAACCTGCTGGACGGTCACCTATGGGTCAGTTCCCATACTGACTCAACAGTACACAACATTACATTTAAAACCATCACTAAACATTACTAAAGATTAGCAATTATTGAAGTAAAAAAACAAAAACAGGTTATATAAAGAACACTGAGGACAAAAAACCCAAAAATAAACACACAACCTAATTAAAAATAGACAAAAGCTCTAAATAGCTATTTCTCCAAAGAAAATACTCACAGTATTATTAGCCATTCACTCACTCATTCAACCAACCCATAGTTGACCCTCAAGCAGGTTTTCAGAGGCAGCAAATTGTACAGGGGAAGACAACCCATCCTTCTCCACAGAACCACCAGTGGCGTGGAACCACCTGCCTTTGCGCTGACAGCACAACTCGCTATTCACTATGTCTCCAGAGTTCTCTCCTTAGTCATAAAGAAAACACAAACAAAACCACTATGACATACCACTCCAAACCTACTTCTTGTTTTTATGTGCCATCAAATGATTATGACTCATAGTGACCCTATGATCAACAGCTCTGAACCTTGCTTATCATATGTCAATCTCACCACCTCTCACACATCTGACCCTAATCCCACAGTCACTGTATCAATCCATTTCATCCAGGGTCTCCCTCTTCTGTGCTGACCCTCCACCCTTCCAAACATGATGTCCTTCTCCAAAAGGACTGGGCCCTCCTGGCTAAAACTCTCCTGGTCCCCCATATGCCCAAAGTATGTGAGATGAAGTTTCCAAGTAGCAATCTGGTTTCAACCTGTTTGTTCTCATAGTATGTTCAATATTCTTCTCCAGTACAATTAAAAGGCATCAATTCTTCTTTCCTTGGACACCATTCAGTTCTCAGATGCACTGCCAGCAACTGAGAGGACCATGGCCTGGATCAGGTACACCTTAGTCTCTAGACCAATATCATTACTCTTAAGTACCCTGGAGAGGTCTCCAGAAAATCTGACAGCAGATTTTCCCAAAGCAATTTATTTTTTTATTTCCTAACCATTGGTACCAAGAGTATTGGTTATTGAAAATGGACAGTAAGAAGTACAAGCAAGAATGTCAAGAAACTGGAACTATCATCAACTGCTGGTAGGAAATATATGGTGTAACTACTCTGAAATACAGTTTATCAGTTGCTCAAATTATTAACTTATTTTGACTAAGCAATTTCACTTGTAGATATATATCCAAGAGAAAGTAATTTATATCTGCATTTTCTTATTTTAAAAATGAAATGGTTACACAAAAACCTGCACATAAATATTCATAACATTGTTCACAACAGCAGAAAGGTACAAAGAAACCAAATATCCACAAATTCATGAATAAACAAAAAAGGAGTTATATCCATATAAATATTATTTGACATTTTTTTCAAAAATGTTGATACATACTATACAATATAAATGGGCCTTAAAAAAGCTTTATGCTGAACAGAAGCCAGTGCCTGAGAACCAGCTAGTATGTGACTACAGTCACCACAACAACCAGACCCAAAGACAGAAAGTAGACTAGTTGTCAGCATGAACAGAACAAACAGGCAGATAACAATGGCAGGAGAAGAAATCTTCTGGTATTAGATAGCGGCAATGTTCACATATGACAAAAATACTAAAATCCACTGAGCTTTACATTTTTGGAGGTCAAATTTTATGGCATGTGCATCATATCTCTTTTTTAAAGATAAACTACTTGTTGTTGCTGTTGGGTACTGTCAAGTTTACTTTGACCCTAGCACTCTACTGCTAAAAGATCAGAACCTTGACCTAAATTGCACATCCTCACAACCTCTTTCACACTCCAGCTTACTGCTGTCAGGTCCAGACTCCAGAAGAGGTTGCCCCGAAGGCATGTTTCAGGTGTACAAGTGATGTTAGAACAACTACCCACATCATCCCAGAGGTACAGATTCAAGTCCAGAAACCCATCAACTGCAGAGCCAGTCAGATGTAATAAGAGGGACACCATGACTGGCAAAGAACCTTCTTCCTCCTTTGTCCAGGGTGAGAGGCCTGCCACACTCTGCCTTGCTCTGAGATACAGCTTTCCTAATAAACTTTCCTTCCCCTGCACCTTCATTTCACCTTCTCACTGCTCCTTTCAATTGCATTGTGCACTCTAATAAAACTGGAGTCACATCAGGCTCTGAACAAAGCATAGCCAGGCTAAACCAGGAGTCCCTCCTCAGTCATTCAGTTGTCCTCCACTTGGCAAGAATCTTTGTCCAGGAAGGAAGACTGAACCTAGGTATTCACTGTACATTAACAATTGTTACAGACATGTGTCAGTCTATCTTGTGAAAGGTCTTCCTCTTTCTCTGATCCTCCATCTTTCCCAACAGGATGTCTCTGTCCAAAGATTGCATGTCCTGACAACATGCACAAAGTATCTGGAGTGAAGTCTCACTATCTTAGCCTCTAAGAAGAACTGTGGTTGCACTTCCTCCAATACCAATTTGTCCATGGCATATTTAGTACTTTTTTCAATGATACCACTATTCAAAGACTATAAACTACTTAGGAAATAAAGTAAAATAATAAATGTGCATTTTTAAATTGAGATTTCAACAAAGTTTGTAGAGAACTTGGATTTCCATTCATTCATTGTTGCACATTTTCCTCCTTGCCCATCCCTCCCCCCAGTACACTTTTCTCCTTGAAAAGAAAAATAAAATTCTTTCATTATTATACAATCCCTCCCAGTCCACTTTACTATGCAGCTCTTATTCTGGACTCTTGTCATGCCAATAATACCTAATCATATATTAGTTTTATACAGTATTCTCCATCGTCTGTTTCAATACAGTGTATGTTATTTAACCCCTCTTAGTTTCCCCCTAACCTCCATGTCAGTCCTGTTTTATAACAGTGGCATTATTCAGTATTTGTCTTTTTGTGACTGAGATATTTCACTCAGCATAATGTCCTCCAAGGTGACCTATTCTGTATAATGTTTCATGAGTTCCTTGTTTTTCAATGTAGCATAGTATTCCATTGTGTGAATATATCACAGTTTCTCTATCCATTCTTTTGTTGATGTGCACTTGGGTTGTTTCCAACTCTTTGCTATTGTGAACAAAGCAGCAATAAACATGGGTGAGCATATAATCTGCTTGGGTGGCAGTTCAATATTTCTATTTCCAACTTTGTGAGAAAGTGCCATACTGTTTTCCACAGTGGCTGTACCATTTTTCACTCCCACCAACAGTGAATAAGAGTTCCAGTTTCTCCACAACCTCACCAGCCTTTGTTGTTTTTTTGCTCTGTTGAATTTTGCTATTGTTACTGGGGTGATTTGCATCTCTTTTAGACCTAGGGATTTTGAACATTTCTTCATGTGTTTGTTCTCCATTTGAATGTCTTCTTTGGTGCCGTGTCTGTTTGTATTCTGTGCTCATTTTGCAATTGGGTTGTTTACCTTTATCTGCATTTTAAGAAAACAAACAAACAAAAAATCCTCTCAGGCCTGATACCCCACACAAAAGCCCATTCACACAGACAAGCCTTAGCGGAAAGACTTGATGCTGGCTACTCTCCACACATACCTTAAGGTGTTGATGCATGCAGTAACGGCACACTTTATGTTTCATTTCATGTGTGACATCGCTGGAAAAAGGAATAAATCCACATTTTGGCTGTAAAGTAAATAAATAAGGGACAAAAGAATATTTAGAAAATGTTCAAAAGAATATTTAGAAAATGTTGGGCATTGAATTATGTCCCCTAAAAAATATGGGTTATAAATTCTAACTCAAATTTGATGACCTTGACATAGTGACTGCCTGGCACAGGACAGAACAGGGTCTTTTGTTCACAGGGTCACTATGAGTCGTACTTAACTTGACAGGGCCTAAAAACAACATCTGGTGACCTAGTGGTAAAAAGCTGTGCTGCAATCGCATAGGCACGCAGTTCAACTCAACCCGCTGCCCCACGGGAAAAAGATGGGCAATCACCTCCCATGTGATTTACTGCCTCTGAAAACCCACTGCAGAGTCAGCTATGGCTCAATTCTGGCCCAATGGTACACAACAACAACAATAGATGTGTAGTTAATATTCATTTCGGAATAGACTGTTTTTGTTACATTCATGAGGCAGTATTAGAATAGAGTGTATCTTAAAGCAGATTTCTTTCAAAAGAAAAAGGAGATTAAACAAGTAAGCCAGCAAGATGGGGGGGTGGGAGAGGGAGAGATGCCAAATCACATGATAATTTCCCAAGCATGGAAACTGAATAGAGAAGGAAGCTTTCCTATACAGCTGGTGTCCTGAGGCCGAATTTATACCCTTTTAAGTCATGGGAAGCTGACAGCTTCCAGCCCTGGTGAATCAGGAGAGGTGCTGCTAACCAAAGGCAATGCCTCTTTGGTGGTGTGAATCCAGCAGAGGTTATTCTGGAGAAAAATGGGAGCTTCTTGTGTGATTTAGACTCAGAAACAGACAGGAGGGTCAGCTATGGAGTTGGCTGACACATCAGAGCAATGACTTTTTTTTAATCATGAGAAAATAAATTTGTTTCTTAAAATCACCCACCTGTTACTGAAGAACGAAGAAACTAATACACATACTACTGGCAGGATCTTATTCTCTCTATATATTAGTCATTTTATAATCTTCTACAATTTTTTTTCACTCAATCGTATGCTTTTGAGCATACTGATAAATAAGGACCAAATGCATTCATTTTATTTGTTGTATGCTAATATTTTATTGCAACTTTCTCCTGCACTTCACCTGCTAAAGGACATCTTTATCTGTTACAAACAGAGCTTACACCATGCCACCATGCGGGAGTGTCTCTCTGCCATCAAGTTTCAATCAATTCATAGCTGATCCACTGGTGGTTTCTTAGACTGTAAATCAAATAGGAGGAGCTGCTTGTAGATTCAGACCACCAGAGAGGGTTTGCAGGGCAATTTTCACCAGAGCTCTCTAGAGTACAGACTCACTCGCTGCCCTCAAATTGCAACTAATTCATGGCTGACCTTCCAGCAGGTTTTTCTCTCTCTCATTCTGAGTGTTCTGATCCATAAGTGATCCTCCAGAAAGTATCCAGAGGCTGTAACTCACACAAGAAACTGTCCATCTTTATCTTAAGGAGGAGTGGACTTTGGGTTGGCAGCCTTCCCTATCTAGGTTTTTACTAGTGTTCACTGCTGCTGAGTCGTAATCAATCAATAGCTGACCTCCAGTGAGTTTCAGAGGCAGTAAATCTCATGGGAGGAAACTGCCCATCTTTCTACTGAGCAGGAGTTGGTGGCTTTGAACCATATGCTGTTGGGTTAGCTGTGTAACTTCTAATCATTAGGCCAAAAGAGCTCCTTAGGTTCTTACTATATTGTCAAATTGATCTCCAAGTGATTTCACCAATTATACAGTTCTGTCCAAAGCGAGTGGGAGTGCCTGGTGTGCTACTTCTTCTCTAGCCTTGTACACAGTTGGACTTTGATAGAAAGTTTTCTTAATTTTGCTGTGGTTCTTTTTGCATTTGCATTTCAACTTAGAGTCTCTAAAGTGGTGAGAAAATACATTACTTTTTTTAAAGTTATCCATTTGTAGTATAGTTCTGTTACAGCAGTAATAGGTAAGTAAGACGGGGAAATTCGAAAGTTTTTTCAAAATTTATACAACAAACTACAAGAAAAAGAAATGCAAAGCAGAGGGTTAGCAATGATTTGGTATACTCTCCAAAAGTTCTACTTTAAGGCCCCACTGGGAATTGATGCTTTCCTCATCACATATACAAATATTTTTGCCTCTAGGGAATACACAGCCAAATCTCTCCCACAGGAAAACACAATGTGGATGCTCCTCATGCTGGTCTGACCAAAGGACAACACAGAGCTGCTCTGGCTGGATGCCCAGACTCAGGATGTCCAGCTGTGACAATCAGACCCTCTGAGCATTAAACATTTGTGATACTGGAGAGATTACCTTCTGACCAGGACCAAGCAAAGGCCTGATCCACAAACTAAGTATATCATGGCATATGCTGACAGGAAGGAGTCACAGGGATGACCTTAAAGGGGCAGTCATTGAATTAACCCTGAGCAAAATGCCATACAACCCAGCTTCCTTCTGAGACTTAGCAATCAAGGCTTATGTGGCCTAGAGAGTGCAGGTGAGGTGAGAAAGAGGGGCAGGAAGGAGAAAGAGCAGGCAAGTTTCTGAGAGCTGGAGGGCTGAATGGACCTAAGAGAGGACTGACTGTTAGTTCCAGCAGGGAGTGACCAAGTCACCATGAGCCTGGAAAAAAGCCTTCTAGATGAAAACACATGCTAGGCTGATGAAGCACAGACTGCTGAAACACCACCCACTTATAATCAGGGACCTACTTTCTGTGTCATAACCTACATTATGTCTCCTTTGACCAAAGTCACCTTAATCTCTACACACAGAATTGGTCGGTGCTCCACAAAGCAGTAGGTCTGAAGTCTGGTCAAGTTAGGAAGGCACATGGCATAACCACTGAGTGTGTCCAGATCCTTGTCACAGCGAGATTCTAGAACAAAAGAGCAGGAACAAACTGAGGATCAGTGCAGAAAATACAACAGACACTGTAGTAACCTGAAAACTCAGGTGGTGAAGAATCAACCTGGCGCACTACAGAGTTTGTCTTTCAACATGAATTTTTTTCTAGCATGAATGACTATGTGGATGGGAGGGACTATGAATGGGGTGTGTTGGCCTATCCACAAGGGGAATGGCTATGAACCATTCTACAAGTAGTTTGGACAGTCTCAACATTCCAGAAGGGAAATGGATAGTTTTGCCAATAATTTGAACAGCTCTAACAGCAGAGACAGAATCCTCCCCAGCCAAAGAAGAGGAAAAAGACTTCCCCCAAACCGGAGAAATGTAAGACAGCAGCAACCATGGCCGAAATGGAGACAAATCATGAGATGAGAAGCTAGCGGGGAAAGGGAGAACCGATATTAGCAGGATTGAGAACTTTGCTGGACAATTTGGGAGGGAGCCAATACTGGCAGGACTGAGAACTTGGGAACATTCAGAGCCACAAGGCTTGAAGCTGAGGTGCCTGCATGCACATTTATGGAGATGTCTTGACTATAATCTGTTCTTAATCTGGATTATAAACTTTTGATTCCCTCAATATGGTTCTGTGTGGTCTGTGAGCTGTCACATTGGATTTTGGACCCAGCAAAGCAGTGGTATTGGTGTTGAGATGAGTAGAAGGAGGCATGGGAGCGTGAGGGACATGTCTGACCTCATTGGAATTGGTTTTGTGTTACTGAGGTTGTGGCCAGGGACAGTTCCCCTCTATGAAGCTGGTAAATTTCAGATATGGGGCTCCCAAGGTGGCCCTTACTCTTTTTACATGCACAGAGCACTGAGCCACAGATCATCACCAGGAATGGGAATACCCTACCTGACAAAAGTATCTGTAAATATAGATAATTACTAACCTGCAAAAGTACTTCCTGCAGGAGCACCTCTGTGTACACAGATGATCACTCATCTGAGAATGTCTTCCTCACATGAGCACCTCTGTGTACACATATGATCACCCAGGTATGCCCTCCCAACAGGAGCATTTCTGTATACAAAGATGACCTCTAACCTAGGAATGTCCTCCCCCATAGGAGCACCTCTGTATACACAGATGTTCACTATCCTGAGGCTTTCCTTGCCAGCAAAAGCACCTCTGTATACACAGATGATCTCTAACCTGGGTATGTCCTCCCCACAGGAGCACCTCTGTATATACACAGATGATCATTCACCTAAGAATGTCCTCACCTGCAGGAACACTTCTGTGTATACAGATGATCACTAACCTGGGAATGTTCTCCCCCGAAGAGGATCTCTGTATACTGAGAAAATCACTAAACTGGGAATGTCCTCCCCAGAGGAGAACCTCTGTGTACATAGGGTTTGAGCCATATTGAATGGAGAATTTGCCCATGTAACATGATGGCATAATGAACTGTCTAGGCAGTCACCTACTGTATGATGGCCCCTGTCACATGTCATTTGAATGAAGGGTCTGTGCCCTTTGGGAAAAAAACAATGGGAGCTCCATCTGGGGGCCTCTTCTGGACCTTATACAGTGATCTCCTGCCTTGGCTTATCTCAATCTGTGCCTTTTCATTGTCACAAATCTTAACCATGAGTATAAGGGGTTTTAGGGAGTTCTTTTAGCCAACTATAAAACCTGACGATAGTCTTGTAAACTGCCTGCAACCTGCAAGCTCCTTCACCCAGCAAACATCAAGAAGAAGGGTGCCGTCCAGATTACCATCAAACAAATCAGGTTCTCAGAAAAAGTCTCCACACTTTTTCAACAATAAACTCTTTGAAATACTCAACAAGCTGGCTGCTCTAAACTGTGCTGTGGACAAAAGTCAGCTATACTCTTTCACATAGCAAACCTCACTGAAATACATTAGCGCAGCAACTTGTCACTATTAAGTAGCTAGAATGTATCCCAGCCAGGGCACCTCAGAAAATAGATGTGGCAATCTCCCTCAAGAAAATCCAATTATAACCAAAGACCTACAGTATCCTAGGAAGTAGCTCAATGTACATGCAGGGCTCATTATGTATCTGAACTGATGTGCAGCAACTAACAGCAGCGGTGATGCTGGTAGTGCTTGCCATTAGATGGCAGCGTCCAAGAATTCATCTTCGTCCAGATGAGGAGAGTAGAGCCAAAAGAAACTGTCTTGTTGGACAGCAGCCTGTATCCACTTCCTGGACCCATTCCCACAAGGATGACTTACTCTACGCTACTCTTTCCAGCTTCCAGCTCTCAGGGCCCCAGAGCTCTCTCTGCTTCCCTTTTCTTAATCAAATCAAGAAGAAATTTCATATTTGCCATATTTACAGTAGAGATGTGCTTTCATAAGAAGGCATTTCCATACTTAACTAGACTTGCACATTAAATGCTTAATCTCTGAAAGTCTCTGACCTAGTTCCTGACATTCTGGCACTAGCAAGTGCACAGAAAGGGTTTGTTTGTCGATGGAGCAAAGGATGTCTTTGGTGACAGCAATCAAAGTAATCCTCATAAGATAATATGTTTCCCTAGCAGCTGAGCAGGTAGGCACAGAGTACAGCCTCTGGGAAAGCCTGCTGTCTACCCTCTAGCAGCAGCCTGCCTTTCTATGGTTCAGTGAACACCAACTCTTGATGCTTCCAGGCCACCTTTACCCATGTCTACATCTTGCCCAACTCCTTCAGTTTTCCTCTCTAACCCAAATGCACACAGTGATAGTAAATTCTTGGTTACACATTCCTTGCCTTTCCCAGCTCTCTGATACTCCAGAACTGTATTCTTAAAAATCCTAGATTTCTACTCCTGGAGATGCAGTGCCAATCATTAAATGCATCTCTGGAAAACATCCTGATGACAGAATTGATGAAAATGGAATCTACTTAACATAGCTGAGAATTCCACTTTTCAGTATTTCAAGTTACTAATAAATTTCCAAATTAAAAAAAAACACTTACCTGGTCTTTCGGTCTGTATCTTTAAACAAAGCTGTTTCACAAAATCTAGAGGGAGCTGAACAACTTCCTGTAAGCACAAGTACAGCACACTCAGTCTGTTTATCTGGACAATAAAGATCAATTTATGATTTTAAATGCCAAATCCAAGCTAAGAAGAGTAGTTAATGTTTCCATGCACTACAAGCAACAACATGGAAGTGGCAGGCAGAATCTTGCTAATTTGCATGGTCTCACACACTTATTGCTCAAGTGGGAGGCCACAGTGCCAAGAGGTCCAGGCTTACACCTAGGAAGTGCCCAGAGGAGTTAGTGTCTGAGGGTGATGGCCTTGTTTCTTTGGTCTCTTACCTGAGGAGAGATCATATTAACATTCTTCAGCCTAGTTTGCTATTTCTGTCCACGGTGATTGACATTTCCTGACTATGCTGTAAACTTGTTTGGATTTTTTTTTGTCTGATTTTAGCTACAGCTTGCCCTGTGACTAGTAGGCATCTTGGAGGAATATGCAAATGACCTGAGTTGTAACCTACTATGCAAAAGAAGCGTCAGAGAGGCCCACTAAGAGAGGACTGGTTAATATCTGGTAGGTAAGCCATGCCTTGAAACTTACAAAGAATTTATGTATTTAAGTGGCCAATGCAGAGGTCTTCCCAGACAAAACACCGCAGTGAAGAAAGAAAAGAGGCAACGAACCTTTAAAAGAAGCATTATATTGCCAAGGGTCTAACACTGAAGGTGGAGACAGTTCCACAGGGAGCACAGTGGCAGTGTGTGGTCACAAACTCAGGTAGAGTCCTTCAGCAGACCTAATGGTGACAACAGATGGCAGGGCCACGAGGCCCTGAAGTTAGAGAAGCTCTACCACCACAGTTTTTGCTCAACATGGGCCTCACTGCAATGGCTCCTGAATCATGGAACCATATGGATTTGGAGGAGACAGAATGAGCATGGACAAGAACCTTCTGATTCTTAAATTTGTGTGCTGGGTATTTGTAATAGCTAATAGAAAAGTAAGAAGTTAAGCTTATTGTTGAGTGCCATAAAGTAGAGTACAACTCATACTCTATGAAAACTAGATCTGAACTCTGTCCTATCCTGTGTCATCCTCAAATCTGACTCATCAAAGCTTCCATTGCTGTAGTCACTGTCAATCCATCTGGTCGAGGGTCTTGCTCTCTTTCACTATCCTTCCACCTTTGCAAGCATGATATACCTCTCCAAGGAATTCCCTCTTGTAGAAATACATCCAAAATCTGTGAGATAAGCTTCATCATCTTTGCCTCCAAGGAGCACGCTGGCTGCACCTTCTCCAAGACATGTCTATTCTATCAGCAGTCCACGGGATATTCAGTACTCTTCTCCAACATCTCAGTTCAAAGGCTTCAATAATTCTTCTGTCATCTTTATTCAATGTCTAGATCTCAGCCACATAGCAAATGATCAGAAAGACCATGATCTGTATCAGATACACCTTGGTCCTCAAACTGACATTACTGCTCCTCAATAATTTGGAGAGGTTCCTGACTACAGACTTTCCCACTGCAGTACATCTCCTGACCTCCTGACTGCTGGTACCAAGTGTACTTACTGATTGTGGATCCAAGTAAAATTAAATCACCGGCAGTTTCAATCTTTTCCATCTATCTCAGTGTTGCCTATAGGTCCACTGGTTGAGAATTTTTTTTTCCTTGACATTGAGATGCAATCCATTTGAAGGCTGTGCGGTGTTTGATCTTCTGCAACAAGAGCTTCAAGATCTCATTTTCAGGAATAAAGGCTGTGTCATCTGCATAATGGAGGTTACTGATGAGACTTCCTCCAATCTTAATATTACATTCTTCTTAAAAAAGTCCAGCTTCTTGAATAATTTATTCAGCATACAGATTGATGCACAACTTTCTAAATTTTAAATCATGTAGCATTTCCTAGCTCTGTCTACACAACAGCCTGCACAGTAAGAAAGAAAGTGACATCTGAAATGCCTTCATGCAAAAGCCTAGGTTGCTCGAAGGCAAAGGTGTTCGGATTTCAGTCTAGTCAAAGACTTATAATCAAATGGACGAGACAGTCAGAAGCCAGAAAAAAGAATTGTTATTGTTATGTGCCATCAAGTCAGAATTGACTCACGGCTGACCTTCCAGTGGGTTTTCAGGGGCAGTAAATCACATGAGAGAAAACTGCCCATTTTTATGCTGCAGAGTAGACAGTGGATTCAAACTGCCTGCCTTTGGATTAGCACTATAATTCCTTACCAATCAAGCCACCAGAACTCCTTAAACAAAATACAAATTAAACAGAACAGAATGGAATATAAAACTTAAATGTTTCAAAACCCTTATAGTCATCCTTCAGATCTGGAACAAAACACCCTCATGGTTCACCCTTCAGTCAGACAACAGATAGATCTACAAGGAACAATACCAGCATGGAGGTTCTCGCTCTCTGAGATAACCCACCACCTGAAGGTCAAAAAAGCAGCATTTGCCCAGGGATAATGGCAAGAAGGAAGAGAACAGAAGGACAAATGAGACTGACAATCACAACAAGTGGGCAAGGTTCAACAACACCGTGGATTTTTAACTAATGTTATTTAAAAAGTGTATAAATGATTGACTAAAAAACTCATATACTAAGTAAACTTTAATTCAAATTAGCTCTTTGGTCTCCGCTGCAGAAGCCAAATGGCAAAGGGAACATCATCATTTGGAAAACAGCCCATTTAGATGCATACACTATGCTTCAGCCATGGCTCTATGGCCTACCACCTTCACAAGTCAACTTGTCCCCTTAAAAAGTCAGCCTACCACCTTCAGAAGTCAACTTACCACCTTCAGAAATCCGCTTACCACCTTCAAAAGTCAACTTACCACCTTCAGAAGTTATTTTACCTCTTTCTGAGGTCAACCCGTAGCAAATGTGGCTATCCTACCAGTGCAACAGGAAATACAACTGGAGTGCCAAGATTAAAAGACAGAAACCACTGGTACTAAGTATACAAAACATCTACAAACTATGTACTGCAGATTCAGGGATGGATTCCATGAAACAAACAAACTTTCATAAACATTATATTTAAAAAATGTTACATGTTTTATCTGAATGCTCTATTTCTCTACTTGGTGGTGTAAAACAAAACCTTAATGTATTACAGAAATAAATACTGAGTATTACACAAAAGAGAAAAACAAGAGTGTGTACCTCTACCTTTCAGGCAATACTTAACTGAATATGATAAATTTGAAAATAGTAAATGGCCCTTATGCTTGTGGGGTGGGGGGGAAGCCTGTGAAATCATATTTGCATTTGAAAGACAATGTTATCACACTCTGGGAATAGTATAAATACCTAAGGCTTTTATCAATGACCAAAGAACTGCTTGCTAAAAAAAGGATGTTTGTGTGAAACACAGTCCTATGGAATCTGACGAATGCACAGAATAGGACACATCAGAATTCATCAGAACACCCCTCCAGGTTAAGAGAAGTTAGTCAAGTAGATAGCCTGGTATGCTCCCATAGAGTGATCACTGGGGTTCATGATGTAAGTAGAAGTAGAGGAGATAAACCAATGAAGAAATGGATTGAATTTGGACATGCCTTTGGTATTCACTGACATAGCCCCAAAAGAGCCAGGGATGAGTAAGAGAGAAAGGCTTTGCTAACCTGCTGTATAGGAAATTGAGTGGATGTCTTAGTCTAAAACCTGTTACCCATTTACCTAGTGTGCAGGGCTTTAGATGAACTGATAGCAAAAAATAGGGATGAAGATGAACTAATCGCAACTCAATAGGATGAGATAATCTGGCCTCAGATTAAGGTAGACAAGAGAGAGGTTTGACAGGCATGGATTCCATGAAACTGCAGCAATTGCTGTACAGTGCCTTGTACTGGACTTTCCTTGTAGATGCTGATGCTCAGAATCCTAATTGGAACAGAGATTCTTCAGGCTAAGGAATATGCTTGTCTCCTCAAAGTATCAAGATAGACAAACATTGACTATTTAAAACAGGGACAAGAAGGGAGATACATGAATGAAGTAGGTGACTCATGCTTATGTTTATACTCAAAATGAGGTGTGCAAAGGAGGATGTCCCATTGAAAGATCTCCTTTCCTCATGAGTCTTGGAAAAAAAGAGTGGACCAAAATGTTGATTAAAAAATGCTGCAGTTCACCACAACAAGATAAAGGTAAATAAAACCCAGTTGAAAAATGGGCTCAGGATATGCACAGACACTTCACTAAAGAAGACATTCACATGAAGAAATGTTCAAAATCCCTAGCTTGAGAGAGATGCAAATCAAAACAACTCACCCCAGTAAGAATAGCAAAATTTAACAGAACAGCAAACATCAAATGCTGGCAAGGTTGTGGAGAAACTGGAACCCTTATTCACTGTTGGTGGGAATGTAAAATGGTGTAACCACTATGGAAGGCTGTATGGCGCTGTCTCAAAAAATTGCAAACAGAAATATCATTTGAAAAAAAAAAAGAAATATCATTTGACCCAGCAATTCCACTACTGGGAATTGACCCTAAAGAAACCATAACCACCACCCAAGCAGATATATGCACACCCATGTTTATTGCGACTTTGTTCACAATAGCAAAGAGCTGGAAACAATCCTAGCACCCACCAACAAATGAATGGAGAAATTCTGGTATATTCACACAATACTTTGCAGCATTGAAAAACAAAGAACTCATGAAATATGAAAAAAGGATGACCCTGGAGGACATTATGCTGAAAGATCTCAGTCACAAAAGGACAAATATTTCATAGTACCACTGTTGTAAAATTGGACTAACATCAGGGTTGGGGGGAAACTGAGAAAGCAGGGATAAATAATGGATACTGCATTGAAACAGATGAGGGAGAGAACTGTTTAAAAGGGATATATGACTGGGTAATATTGTCATGACAGGAGTTCAGAATGAACTGCCAAAAGAACAAACAAATGTGTCTTGGAGGAAATACAACCAGAGTACTCCTTAGAGGCAAGGATGATGAAACTTCACCTCACTTACTTCAGAAATATTCTCAGTCAGAACTAATCCTTGGAGAGAGAT